CAGGACTGCTTATCTTTCTCTCTTTAGAAACTGAATTTTGGTGCCTAAATAACATGCTCTGCAGACTTGCTATGAAATTAATGCATAGCGATTCCACAGCTTTTAACAAAATGGGCCAAGATTGCATTTTGGACAAATCATTCCTAGGGTGGAAGAAAGGTCTTGTTCTTACAGCTCTTGTATTTAAGTAACAAACTTAACCATTCTTTCGGTTGCATGCAGTCCTGGCTAAATTCTGTGGAATGCCAATTTTGCTGCAGTTGCAGTATTAACACCACTCTTTAATCATTAGAGGCATTAAACGCTGCTGTCAGCTGCTTCACACACTTAGTGTGCATGAATGGGATCTTTTAATCAGTTCTTGGTGCCATGCATATGCAATACTTATCATTAGATTATAATTAACTGTAATTATGTATGGAGATCAGCCCAAGCCATAAAATGTAAATTTAGATATTTACTATGTTAATAAGAAGATTTGGTGAAGATAAAGGGCTTGATTTTTTAATTTTCACTACCACAACAGTGTGACGGAGTCTTAGTGGAAGTGTGGTTAAAATTAATATGGCCGCAGTTAACGTCTGTATTACGGTTTTCTTACTGCACATTGCTATAGATGAGATTCAGGCCCCAAAGGCCATGGCATTCACAGAACGAAACACTGCCTCAGAGAAACTGAGACAGCAGAAAACAGGTTGCAGGAGCCCTGAGAGGTGAGTTTGTCCGCAGGCATGCCAGCACGTGTTTTGAACTATATATAAACATTCCTGATAGTTGTTCACCTAAGGACAATTTTGCAGAAGGGGTTTCTGCTGGGGAAAGGGGAGTATTCCCCTTTATTTCGACGCTGCAGTTAAAATGCCAGGCGCAAGTATTCTCCAGGTGTGCGCAGAGGTGCTGTGTAGGGCTGCGTCGGGGCGTGCTGTTCCTGCCACCGGTAAACAGGGAACCGAGCGCCGTGTTGAGCTGCCGTGTTGCTATGCTAACTCCGCAGTCTTCTTCTAAAGGCTTTACTGAAAAAAAACCCGAACCAATTAAGTGATATTGGGAATCATAAAAAAGATTTAATGGCTTCTGTGACTAAGGTTCTGCTTTAGCATTTAGCTTTTGCTGGGGAAACAGTTGCTTTTGTTTGTTTGTTTGTTTGTTTGTTTACATCGGGGAATCAAATCTAGCCTGTTGTGCAAATAATTTAATCTTTATGGCTGTTACTGCTGCATATAAAGTGCTGCTGTGTTGATACCGGCTGGCGAAGTGAAGCAGGAAGGGATGCGTTTACGCACGTTACTGTTGACTGTATTTAATGGAAATGAAAAGTGAAGTAATAAATTAGGGAACACCAGACTAGAGTTATACTTCTTCTTCATTTTGGAACAAAGCAGCCGTGTTTCAGGATCCTGGTTAGTCGCAGTCTGATGACCTGGGTGCACTGCAACGTTCCCCTCTCCCTTTCCCCCTCCTCCAGTGTTTTAGATGGAAACGATGTGTTTTGCTGTTGACTGGAAGGCTCCATTTCAGAAAGCTTTCTTGTAATGGTGAGAGGGCTACAAAGTGATTTTCAAAGTATCCCTGAACTCAGTTCCTGGTACAAGAGGATGGAGGGGGACGACAGACGGGGATGGGGTGGGCAGGAGCTCTGTAGTTAGAATGACCGCTGGATGTCTCACACCCTCACTTCAGCGTTTTCTTCCCAAAACCGCTTCCAGACACTGGAAGCTGACATTACTCATGCCAAATCTTTGTAAAGTTTTAACTGTTTTAAACCCTTTCCAAGTTAACTTTTAGAAAGGCACATTAGCACAAAACCAAAGGAATCGCAATACTTGGCTGCGTGACTAAAAAAGCTCGGAACTTAATCAGGTATTTAAACATGTAAATTAAAATTATAGCCACTAATAACATTGCTATCCTAATTGTGAAGAAAATAAAAACATTTAGCTAGGTCATTTACTAAGCGTATACCTCTGACTCCTGCCGTGAGACTTGTGGAATCTCTCTTTGCTCGGGGGA